TTTAATTTTTTTTTTAGCTGAGCCATCCTGCCACCTGTTGGCAGCTCAGCGGCTGCTCAGCTCGGGCTGGGAGTCGAACCGCTGTTACTCAGAGCTCGCACTCTTGCGCGAGCTCTTAACCAACTGAGCCACTTGGCCGGCCCTTGGTCTGTTCCAATTTAACCCAGTTTGTTTAATAAAATTGTTCTCATCATTCCCATTTTTGCTCTTCTTTATTGGGAAATATATAGTACTAGATAAGCTCATTTTATTGTGGATTTCTGCTAATACTCATTTGTGCCTTTGAACCGAGTCTCACTAAAAGTTTCCAAATGTCTATCAGTGAATTTGTTGCATCAGATTCACCACAGTTATTTAAAACAAAACATTTCTAGGTAGGGGCAGACCTACCAAATCAGAGTATCCAGGGGGTAAGGCTGAGCTTTTGATATCTTTATAAAATTCTCTGAGTTGGGGAACCTTTAGGAAACCCTTGTTTGTGAGCTGTCAATCTGCTGTTGATTTCTGGCTCCACAGTGCTGTGGCTTTGCTCCGTGTAGTGGTCTTTTTGTTCCTTTTTGCTTTGGTGATAGCAATGCTGTTTCTACTTAGTTAAAATTAGGCCACACCAGTGAGCTCAACAGCAGCTTTGTATGTGGTTAGAGAGTTCTTGACCAGAAATGTGGTTGTATAAACTGTGCTGACCTTGATTCCTGGAAGACAGTGATGTGAGACCATGCTTTAAAAATAAATAAGTGAAGCACATAAACAGTCTTAGCAATGGGATTGTTTTATCATCTAGACCCTTAATTTATTAATTGTCTCACTATGAATAAAGATAGGCCATTTGCTGTTTCTCTCTAGTTGAATTACTTTATGCAGGAGGGGATAGGTCAAGATACATTTTTTAAGAATAACTGAGTGGAAAGGCAAATAGCAAAACTTGTAAGGATATATATTTTCCTCCCCCAGCAAATTTATATTAATAAAGTAGATAAGTTGTTGAGATGGACTTGTCTCAAATATTTTCCAGTGTTCTTTCTCTATCACCTTTTCTTTTACTTTAAGAAGTACTTATTTGATTGGTCATACCATTAATATATGTTTATTTAGTTAGCTACTGTGCATTTTCTAGGCTCTAGTTATACAGAGACAAATATGCCTTATTTCCTAGCTACAGAGGACATAACGACAGGAGAACAAGAAAACAGAACCAAAAATTGTAGTGTAGCATAGTGTGTTAAGGCTTTTGTCAGTTGTCACTATACGGTATGATAGGAGCTCTAGGACGCTGTTCTAAAACAGTGTCAACAGTATGGGGACCCCTCTGACTGCTGGAGTCTTGAAGTATGAGTTAGAAACAAATTAGGAATATAGAGTTGGGAGAGAAGGGATGACATCCCAGGAAGAAGGAACAGAATTTATGAAAATGTGATGGTATTTTTATAGGAAGGAATTTACCATGTCACATTTTTTAAAAATAGGACTTGTTGGCTTTGTGAAGCTTTCTTTTCTTACTTGGCTTCCTTCCTTGTTGTTAATTGCTTGCTTGATTTGATTGATTTATATTTCAGAACCATAGGCCTTATGGTACCTGTGCTATTTTGAAGAGAGGAAGGGTAATTTAAAAATTACATAAACTTGGATATACCAGTGCTGTGTAGAACTTGCCTGCCACCCTTTTGGAACACAGCAGGGTAAAAACTGTTATGAAGTACTTGTAAGATGTAGCTGCATTAATATAATAACCTACTGATATTTCGTTGAAGTTGCTGAATTTTGGGAATGGAATACTAAATCGGGAGATCATACTGCCTGGAAAGATTACAGGGAATAATACATTGAGCTTAAATAGGGTCAGGAATAATTCATATTCTGAACAGCTAGAGTGGAAAACCTCATAATTCTTGGTTTTAAGTGGTGTACTCAGACGGGTCTTTATTTCAGTAGTGGGGCAAAATTAGCCCTAGACTAAAGGTTCTTCTGGTACTGTATAACAAAAGAATCAGACTTTCCAAATAATTGCATTTCAAAAGAAAGCTCAAAATATTTGTAGGAATACAAACTATCCAGAAACCAATAGGTAAAAATCCAGTATGCAAGTATCCACTCAAAAATTACCAGGCATGTAAAGAAGCAGGAAAATATGACTCATAATACAGAGAAAAAAGAAAAAACAAACGAACAATGAGTAGAAACAGACCAAGAAATGACACATGATAGAATTAGTGAATAGTATTAAAACAGTTATAACTATATCCATATGTTCAAGAAGCTAGAGAAAAGACTGCATATGTTAAGTAGAGACATGGAAGATGTAAAAAGATCAAAATAAAACTTCCAGAAATGAAATCTGCAGTGTTTGAGATTAACAGAAGTAATGGCTGAAATTTTTCTGAATTTGATAAAAACTATAAATGCGTACATCTAAGAAGCTCGACAAACCCTGCACGCAAGAATTATGAAGAAATTACAAGGCACAACAGAACACAAAATGAAATTGTTTAAAAAAACTGGCGATAAAGAATCTGAAAAATAACCAGAGGATCAAAGTTAAAGATGACAGCAGTCATCATTTTCTCAAAAGAAATGATGCAAGCCAGTAGATAGTGGCACAACATCTTTTAAGTAATGAAAGAAAAAACTTGCCTAGAATTTAATACCCACTAAAAAATGTATATCAAAAATGAAGGTGAAATAAAGACTTTTTCCAGATGTACAAAAGCTGAAAGAATTTATCACCAGCCTGCCTGCATTACAAGAAATCTTACAAAAAGGAAAATTATATAAAGTGGAAATCTGGATTTATACAAGGAAATGAAGAGCACCAGAAATGGTATTTATGTGGGCAAATGTAAATTACTTTTGTTGTCATTTAAATCTATTTAAAACATAATTGGATGTTTAAAGCAAAAATAATAATGTATTATGAGGTTAAACGTAATAAAAACAAAAAGGTAGAAGGAAGAAACACTCTTATACTAAGGTTCTTAAACTATACATAAATTGGTGTAATATAATTTAAATTAGACTGATGAGTGAAAAATGTATATTATAAATTCTAAAGCAACTGTAATCTGTGGCCGAGGGTTAGATGGAGCAGATCTAATTGTTTTTTTTGTTTTTTGTTTTTTTTTTNATGGCAGCCCACTGCAGCAGGGGCTGCAGCCTACGCCATCACCGACTCATGGCAGCCCACCTCCAGGTTGAGCTGTTGTTCAGCATCTTAGCTGTAGAGGGCAGTGTCACTGGCCCTCATACGTGGGATCAGAACCAGGGCCCTCTGGCGTCCCAAGCCAGTTCTTAACCATCGCGCCACTCAGCTGGCCCTATTTTCTCATTCTTAAAGTTACAATTCTTTCTTCCTCTTCCTTACTCTCAGTTTGTGATGAGTGATATTTTTATACTTCACTGAGAAATCTGTACATGTTCCCACCTCCACGTGGACTAACCTAAGTGCATATGTACCCCATCAGTTCTTTCTCCCCATTTACATGGATAACTCTTCACCTCTCCATGACCAGCCCCTCCAGTAGCCCTGGGTCCTCCTGTTCCTTCTCTCCAGTTCACGGGCATCACCTGAGCAATTGGTCCATTCCAGTGGTTCCATTTCTTTTCTTTTCTTTTTTAAAAGAGTTTTTTAAAAATATAGTTAACATACAATATTATATCAATTTCAGGAGTACACCATAGTTATTCAACATTTATTACATGTAAAGAAGTGATCACCATGATAAGTCCAGCAACCATCTGATCTGACACGGTACCACACTATCACAATATTACTGACTATATTCCCCATGCTTTATTTACATCCCCATTGACTGTTTTGCAATTACCAATTTGTACTTCTTAATCCCTTCCCCCTTTTCACCCTGCCTTTCAACCCTCCCCCCACCCCCAGTCTACCACCCCAATAGATCTAGGACCCATCCCGACACCATACATAGTTATTAAAATATTATTGACTATATTCCTTACGCTATACCTTACATCCCCATGGCTACTTTGTAACAACCAATTTTTACTTATTAATTCCTTCCCCTTTCTCACCCACTTCCCCAATCTCCCACCCATCTGGCAACCATCAAAGTGTTCTCTGTATCTGTGAGTTTCTGTTTTGTTTGTTTATTTTGTTCTTTAGATTCCACATGTAAGCGAAATCACATTGCATGCAGTTGTTCCATTTCTCTCCTGCGTGATCATTCCCATCAGTACACAACATGCTGCAATGACTGTCATCTTTAAAACAAAAAGTAACTATAGCAAAAACTTGTTCTTAATCTCACATTCCTCTCTGAGTACCTTTTTGCTGCTGCCCCTCCTCAGTCACAAAACTCCTTAAAAGCTTGGTCTACAGTTGCTCTCTTCACTTTCTTTCCTGCGGTTCTTGCTTGCACTGACTTCAGGCATGCAGTGCCCCGGTCAAGGTCACCACTTGCGCAGATGTCAGTGATATTTGACACAGTTGCTCACATTCTCCTTTTTGAAACACTTTGTTTACTTAGCTCTGGGACACCAGTCCCTCCTCCCCGCCCTTCCTCAGCAGTGCCTTTGTTGGCTGCTCCTCATTCCTTATCTCTCTGGGGGTGGGGGTCTTAGGGCTCAGGGCTCAGGGATGTACAAAGACAAATATGCCTCGAGGGCTGTACTCAGTACATTCGAAATTGAGATGCTAAAGCTTTTTACCTTTTTAAAGTCTCTTCAGAATTAAAAGTGATCATCTATCATGTCTTGGCACCCTTAATTGTTCTACCAACTGAGCCTGGACAGGCCACAGGGACCCCATAAAAACGTCTTCCCTCTGTTTAGAAATGCTTACTTTTGGGTCATCTCTAGGTTCTTAGTAACCAGTCGGGCTTGCTTATAGTTGCTGATCTAGCTTGTTCTTACCTGTCTTTGTCTTAGACACGATCCTTTGGACTTTTCCTAGCTACTAGCCTTTTTTCTCTTAGCAAATGTTAGTTCCCCACGTTCTCTGAGTTTGTGGGTCAGCCTTAGGCATTCCTACCCTGGCTCCTGAGATTGCAAACCCCTTTGGGGGGTGGGGGGTGGAGGGGGGTGGGAGAGCTGGGAGATCAGCCAGAAGAAGCTTTGCCTGCTTCCTTTTGACCTCGGTATCTGTGGACTTGCTTCTTTCACCCATCCATCCATGCAATATTTATGGAACACTTTTTCTAGACACTGATGACAGAGAAGTAGGAAAAAAAACCCAAAGTCATTGAAATTTACACTAAATAAAAAGAGATTTGTAGAATTTGACTGGTTATTTAGCGTTACCACTCACTTGGCCCCTTAGAGCTACGTTGATCATTTTGTTTAATCTGTCAGAGGTGTAGGAAGAAAACATAGGTAAGTGATTTGCTTGCCCTTGCTACAATGTAAAAGTAGGTAAATATGACAGCACACTGTTACTGAAACTTAATACAGCAGCGTGTGGTCTTGGATTATGGACTTCATGATATCTCTGATTTCAAGTTCCTTGTGTGTCCTTCATGCAGCCCTGGCTAGAATGCACTGTTTTTACCTCCCTTTTCCTCCCTGGTTTACCTTAGCTTACCCCTTTCCTCTCCCATTTGTTAGGAGTTTAATTGCTGGTGGCTGTTGTTAATTCAAGAAAGGAACCCATTATAATACAATAATAGTTACCTAAGTGCACAACCCTCACTCCTCCTGTCTGTCAGAACCTTGACGACAAAGTGTCCTTATAACCCTTCCCCTCACACAATAGAATAAGGGTCTTCTAGCCTTACCTGTTTGTGCCTCGTTTGCATCTAAAAAGGTTTGTAAACCACTGACTGGAGGTAAGTACATTGAGGCTTTCTCAGTTTTCACTGGTTAGTTTTGTTCATGCTTCATCCTTAGCACATACAACAAAGAATTTTTTTTTTGAATGAATGAATTAGGGCATCAGTGACTCCAACATGGTATTAATGTGATGATTCTTTCTGCGTAATAGGTATTTTTGAAAAACAAGTTTTGCTTCTGTAAACTTAGGTTATTCATTACCTGGACACATCCCTCAGTAAGTATTACAGGATATTGTGGTCTGTTCCAGTTTTTTTTTTTTTTTTTTTTTTTTT